GTATAGCAAAGTGTAAATAATAATAAAATTGGTTAAAATTCATTATTTACATCAAACAAAAACACAACATCAGAAAACAAGCAATAAACAAAACAAAACATAACAAAATAAGTTCGGTTACAGTTCAGAAATTGGTTGATTAAAATATATGAAGTTACGGATACTAAAAAAACATCAGTTTTAAGAATTAAGAACGAGCTGGTATTAAAACTTTACAAACAATTTTACAGATAGTCCAAACATACAGCGTATATACAGAGTATATACAGATTCTCTTTCAAACAATGTGTGAAAAATTAAACTAAATTAAAACATATAGAACTAGCAAAAACGGAAATCACGCCACGTATTTGTATTTGTACATATTGGATTGTTTCTCAATTCACTCACATAAAATTCTTTCAATTTTTTCTTGAATCCTGTTCTCGATTTTTCTAAATTGCGCAAAATTATGGGCAGTGAATTCCATTTTTTAGAAGTCAAATGAAAAAATGATTTTTGTAGAGAAGCGGTTGAACAATGTTTGTCAAAAATAATTTGTTTCGTTCTTTTGTTGAGCCCATAATTGGCAGTCGGTAGATCAAAGTATTTTGAAAAGCCTTTTTTTTGTTTGTAAGATATTGGTATAAGTATGTTATACACTTTAACTCAAGTCTTTTCTCGATTCCAATGAACGATTTGCTAATGCGAAGAAGGGAAGAAGATTTAAATTTCGATCTGAAACATGTTCTTTTAAACGCCCAGTTCAACTGTTTCTCTAGAGATAGCATCAAAGTAGCATTAATTTGTATTAAAAATATTGCTGAATAATCTAACTGTGATAAAACAAGACAATGAAGCAAGGCAACTAATGATAATGTCGGCAGTTGTTGTCCAATTGTATCTATAGTTTTAATTCCTTGTGCCATTTTTTGGAGAATTGTTTTGATTTGAGCATGAAAAGATAAACTTGAATCAAGAATAAGGCCTAAATATTTGCATTCTGATTTTTTGGCTACATAATACCCATTAATTACTATTGTATCAGTATCTACATTTTTGCTATCATTTTTTTGACAAAATGTTATAAATTCCGACTTAGATGCATTCAGATTCAATTGGTTCTCTGCAAAAAATTCCGTTAGATTGTTGAGTGATTTTTGCAATCGATTCAAAGCATCCTCAGAAATTATAGAAGAGGACAAAACCATACAGTCGTCAGCATATTGAATTAAAGTACAACCTTCATATAATCGCTCTTGTATGTCATTAACATATAAATTGAACAACAACGGACCAAGTACCGTTCCTTGTGGGACACCTCGTTTGATTTCAATCCAGTCTGAAAAGATTCCATTGACGTTTACTCTTTGAAAACGTTTGTTTAGGAAGCTAGCAATTAAAGCATTTGCTCCATTTGAAAAACCGAGAGAAAGCATTTTTTCAATTAAAACTTCATGCGAAATAGAATCAAAAGCCTTGGACAGATCTAATGAAGCTGCATGTACAATTTTTTTTGAATCTATTTGATTTCGAATACTTTCTGTCACATAAACAAGAGCTTCTTGTGTTGAAATGTTTTTGCGAAATCCGAATTGAAATGGTGTCATTATTTGAAATTTGTCAAGATGTTCTGTTATTTGGGCATGCAAAATTTTTTCAAAAATTTGAGAAAAAGCACAAGTTATTAATATTGGCCGATAACAAAGGGGTTACTTGTGCTTTTTTCAGTTCGATCGGGAAAATGTTCTCATCTAAGCAAGTATTTATGACAAAAGTTAAATGTGGAACTATAACTGATTGATCGTCAATGATTGCCCAAGCAGGTACGGTACAAGGTCCGAGTGGTTTTCTGACATTGATTTTTCGAACTATATCAAAGCTTTGCTTCACTTTAATGTGTTGAAAATGGAAAGGCGCAGATTCAGAGGCAGATTTTTTGTAATTCGGAGGCTTTTTAGCGCCGAAAAATTTGCCTAAAATTGAAAAATATAATTTAAATGATTGGCAATTTTTTTGTCTTGGGTTATCATTTCACTAAAGGAATTTCGTAGAACTGTAATTCGATTGTTGCTAGAACATGTACCTCTAACTTGGTTAATATATTTCCATTTTTTTTGAATAGTGCTGAGAAGTGAAAAACAATATTTTGAACGTTCGAGTTGTTTACTTCTGATCAATTGGCTCAGTTGATTACGTAAGAACTGGTACTTTGACCAATTATCGCTTGTGCTTCGACTGCGATATAATCTGAGTGAATTCTGTTTCTTAATCAACAATTGCTGACATTCTGAATCGAACCATTCCGTTTTCTACACATTTTTTGGTATAAAATTACGAACAAAATTTTTTCGATAGGAGCATGTTGCTCAAGAGCACTAGAAATTAAATAAATCATCGTCGAGAACATTTTCTGTGCGTCTGTTCATTGATATAAGAGATACCAAGGAAGAGCGGAGAGTGTATTGCGAAATTAATTTTCTGGTAATTTTTCTTATTGAAAGTCGAAATTATCCTCGGTAAACTTTTGCCGCATTTTATATCCGTCAAAATAAATAAAGCAAAATGGTCCGTTTTATAGAGTGTATCAAAACAAAATTCAAAGCCGTTTGTTTCATAGTCACTGATAATGTAGTCGATATTAGTTTTAGTTGAGGAACTAATTCTGGTCTCATCGTTTGGACAAAAAACCTTCAATCCATATGGAATAATTATAGAGTCTAAATTTTCTTTTTCTTTGCTATCCAGATAATTTATGTTATAATCACCCAGAAGCGTAATTTTATTAGAAACTGAAAATGCATTATCTATGTTAAGCGTTAATTGTTCCAAAGAATCAATAAAATTTGATCTGCTTGGATTATAACACAAATTAACTAACATTTTTTCTTTACTGGAAATGTTAATTGTAGATTTGATTTGCACTCAACCCACACTGACTCATATTTTTCTCTATCAAATAAATTTAAACCAGGCCTCAATTTCCAAGCCAATTTGACTGGTATATATAACAAAACGCCACCGCCTTTCTTTTTTACCGCTGATTGCCTATCTTATCTGAACATCGCATGCGTTCTAGGGTGGAGATTCCATAAATTGTCACTATCTTCTTTCTTAAGCCACGTTTCGAAAATTCCTATAATTGTATTTTCGCCCATATCATCAAGAATTTTTTTCAATTGCATCCGTTTTCTAATAATACTTTGAAAATTCAAATGAACAAATTTAAGATTTGCACAATTTTTTGAGCAGATGCCGTAGACTGTTTCAATGGTTTCAATAGGACCAGGGTTTTTCAACATCCCCGCTTTGGGTTAGTAACAACCCAAAGAGGAAAAGATGAGTCAGTGTGGTAGCTCTCAGCTCATTTATCCCACATTGCGATGTTAATATCTTTTGATGGCAGCTTAGATAGCCCCAGTAAACAATGGTTTTTTCTATATTTTCCATCTGAGCCTTGGAAATTAGAAAAATTTCACAAAACAACCAGAATTTAATATTCAGCATAATAAATTAAATAATCGCCAAAGGTTGCACCAAGAAAAAATGCGAAACTAGTATTTCCTAAAGAATTTTGCACCGTTTTGGAAAAATTGTATCATATCTGCCGTTTTTGGGTCTAAATTTGATGATTGTTGGGTTTGCTTCATTCTGGGGCGAATTGTTATCTCACATGTGTTTGCATTAATATCAGAACCTCTAAAAGAATCTCTAAAACTTTGCACCAAAATTTCAACACCCGCATCAGAAGGATGCAAACCATCCGAGCTAAGCGCATCGGTATTTTCACTAAAATTTTGGTTTATGTCTAAAATAGCCAATTTTACTTCGCCCAAGTCCTTTACATTCCGTACTAAATTAAGAATTTGCTTGTTTAGCTTCTGTACATTTGGATTAAAATCTTTTCTAAAAGCGCCTAAGGGAGTTACAGTACATAGTGAAATTGTTTCTGGGGAGAATTTATGATTTACGAGATAAATTAGTTTTTCTAAGCTACTCACGGCTTCCTTCACGTCGAAATCATCTGAGAGGCAGTCATTTATTCCAATTAGCATAGTTACATGTTTAAAATAAGCCGTTGTTAAGAAAAATGAGTTTTTTCTAGATCAAATTTGAGTTATAAAGTTCACTTGAAAGAAGCGTTTGCGATAATGGTTCCTGCAGAGGCGGCTCCTTAACTTTTTCGAACGAAAATGTTATCTTGGGAAAATTGATTATCTCAACATTTTTTTCTCTTCTAGCTTATTTTAGTAGAGAAACAACGAAGTCCAATTTTTTGAAATCACATTTTTTATGACGCATCAGTATAGCTAACTCATTCAGTATATTTTTTTAGATCAATTTTTAAAGTTTTTTTTAAGGAACTTCCTTTTTTCTAAATTGTTTTTTAATCAATTAAATTCTTTTTTTTTATTACTACTATTTCAATATCAAACACATACCTTCAGCTACTACTTGCATTTAATCTAGACAGACGAAACATTTGCTTTTTTAAACGCCAAGAGGCGCGTTTTAATTTATAATCTCGTGCTGAAAAACCAGTATGTATGTATAAATGTACAGATAATGATTAATAATGGAAAGTCTGGTTATGTTGGAACGAGTTTATTGTCTATGAACAAGAATATTGACATCGGTATCCTGTGTAGTACATGACGTATAGACTACGAAACAGACGGTTCACCCACTTTTTCAACCGTTAAAGTTTTTTTCGATATACTTTTTTTTTATGTTTTTGTTGCATCGCAAGTGATCGAAGCTACGCTTCGCCTCTGTATAAAAAGATTACTCATTCTTTGGACCTTGGGCATTTGGAACATTCAGGTTTTTTTCGTTGTTGCGAGCAGTCTTGATTTTAGTTTGAAACCAACCAGAATAGTTTGAAATTGGAGTCCAGAAAATTTTAGAAACCCATCTTAGTTTTGAAACACCAAGTACAGCAGCTAATAAAGAATATTTTTACAATTAAAAAAAAATTTACCGTTTTTTATATCGTTTCTCTAGTTAACAAATGCAGTTTTTAGATACCCGTGACTCTTACGAAATGGCTCCTTCAAGCTTTGCCGATTTAGGAAAAGATGTCAGAGACCTGTTTTCTAAAGGATTTCGTAAGTCTTTTACCTATTGTAAAGTTTTCATAGGAAACTTTCACATTGAGCAGACATAGAGAACAAGCCAGAAGATTAAATTTATTCCTCGTTCATCAAAATTTTGTTTTTTGGCTGGTCTAGACAGTGGAGTTGTGAAGCTGGATGTAAAGACAGTAGCCGACAACAAGGTCGAGTTCAAGATTAGTGGCACTCATGCAAATGACTCGGGTAAAACTGACGGCAAAGTAGAGGGCAAGTACAAGTGCAAAGAGTACGGCGCAACTTTGACGGAAACTTGGGACACAAAAAACACAGTCGGATGCAAAGTGGAAGTGGAAGATAAAGTTTTACAAGGTTTGAAGGTGGTTCTCGATTCCAGCTTCAACACTGGAAGTGGGTAAGTTAAAGCTGGCCATTCCCACAAACTATATGTCTTTACCTTATCTTCTTTTTATTATAATGAAAAGTCCTCTGTAACCAAAAATCTCATCAGATTTTGAAATTTTGAGAGACATCTGCAATACCCGATCGAGTTGAAAATTCGGTTTGTTCGACCATATTTCTAATAAAAACTATTCTCATTTTTGCTTGCTCTGTCTTAATATTCCAGTAAGAACAAAAAGCTTTTCTGCAATAATTTGTGCCAACCATCTGGATTCTCAATTTTAAGAAAACAAAAGATAAATTGATTCAATATTTTCAACTTGGGTGTTCTATTTAAGTTCAATTCAATCGTTTGACAAATCAAAGGCAAATATTGCAAGAAACGAAAATGACTTTGTTTCCAAATGGACTTTAATTTTCATACCCAGCGGAATAAAAAGTAACCTATTGATAGAGTTTTCTCTGATTGGGTTATTTTTTTATTTAAAAAAGTGTTATTTGTAAAAGGAGTTCAAACACCTTTTAGGCTATGTTTTCTTCTTCGAAAGTTATTTTTAAACATCAAAAAGATAGCCAATTGTATATCTGTTCGCAATGTTTTTAAATGAAACAGTTTGATCCGAATTTCTCCAACTTGCTCAGTTAAACCGAGAGAGAGAGAGAGTCAGTGACATGATGTTTATGAAATTCAAACAACTTCAAGTTTTATATAAATTGCAGAAGTATATTATACTGGTTTTGAGCTTAACTCTAAGAAAAAATAGCTTAAGCCAATCGGAGAAAAATTTATTTTTCAATTTTCTGCTTTATGCTCACAACATTTTTAATATATGTAGCTGTTGCAAATTTAAAATCTCTCCAAGCCTAGTCAAAGAGAAAAATAGTCAATAGTCAAAACGTTTTCGAATTAACAAATTCATCATCAGTGTCTAAAATCATATCAAACGGTAAAAAATGCATAAATTTGCACGCTTAATGCTCAAAATATTTATAATATAACGCTTGGGAAAAGTTAAAAGATTCTCCGATCCAGTTCAAGCTATTAACGTCAATTTGAAATTTTACTCAGTTGAATAATTACAAAGGTAGTTAAATAGGTCTGCTAGTTATCATTCAAATAGAATTTCTTGTCATGTTTTTTGTGCGAGTGAGTTTGTTGTGTATCTAGAATCTTGTCTTTTATATTATGAAAAAAAAAAAACGTACAAATGATAGTAGTTCCATGAATGATGTCATGTTATTGGATTTGTTTTAGCGCAAAAGACGGCTCACTGAAAACAGTTTTCAAGAACAAATTCTTCAATGGTGAACTAGAATCAGGCCTGCATTTCAAAGCGCCGCTGATTAAGACTGCCGCCGTCATTGGGTAAGGCTAATGATTTTCTATGCATCATTTTGTTCTGGCCAATTCACGATGTAGAACGATTTATGGCGTAGGGATAGTTTTTGCCCACTTTTAGCTACCTCATGGAAAGCTCGCAGGGAATCAAATATGGTATATTAAAACCCTTTTGGTCAAGATTTGGATTCTTAAAAAAGTTGTTTCAGTGTCAAGAAAATTAGGTTTAAATTTTTTGTTTTTCAAACTAATGTATTCGAATTAATGAATAAAAGACTGAGCGTGCTCTCTAATTTTATCGCATGTTAGCGTGGTTTTAAGCTGAAATGTACCGAGTCTAACAGATTATTATCTAATTGAACCCTTTCCACCGACTAAAATTTTTTTGCTGATGTTTTCATTGATTAACTCACTTTAGTGGGGTCGATAATTTCTGTGCTACTTGCACTTAATGCGGCTCTTTCGTTTTTATATAAGATACGATATATGTGTGCTTCGGCGGGGGGGGGGGGGCTTTAAAAATGTTTGACAACAACGTCTTTGGACTCAACGGGCTCGTACACAAGTATTCTTGGCTTGTTGCCACATGACTTTCGGCAAAAGGTCTGTCGGCTAGATTGCCATGCTATTTTCTGATATAGCTCAAGTGGTGTGAAGCTCAGCTTCTCCTCTGTGTTTCTTGAAGCTTCGCATGCGTTTTCGAAAATGAAGCTTCGTCTGTATTTTTTTTGTGTTTTGCTTTTTAATCAGCTTCAAAATTGTTTCAATTTGCTCATTGAAATGACACTGAAAACGCAGCTGACACTGGAGACGCCCTCCCCTCAGGGATTCGACCCCCTACCTCTGTACTATTTTGAGATATCCGCTTTTGGCTGACTGGTCCTAATATTTTGAAAATCCACCCCCCTGCCCCCTTCAGAAAATTGTTGATCCGCCTATGTATGCTTATTTGCAAAAGTATGTGACGGATTAACTTGCTTGTCATGTTCACTTTCAACAAGCGTCTTACTTGCTGAGCGATTTTGCACTTATTTAGCAAAAAATGTTGGGGCAAAAATTGACCATCTGTACAAACGAAACGTATACCATTATTCGAGGAGGTTTTCCCGATGCCATAAAAACTTGTTTGGCGTTGTTTTTTTGAGAAAAAAAACTGTTAACTGATTGACGTTTAAATAAAATCAGTTGTTGCCTCGGTTTATGATCCAAGCGAATAGATGTTGTCAAAGCGTTTTTTATTCTTGGGTGCTTTTTGGCTCTTTATACCGGGTAGCGGTAGTGAAGTGGTTACGTCTCCGCATTTTAATCGAAAGGCCGGATGTTCGAGGCCCACAATGATCCGTGCACGCTGCTTGAGGGTGAAGTAACATTGCCCAGCCCAGAAAAATAGCCAAAAAAGTAGCATGTTGATCTTAAACCAGCGGAAACATGAGCGGCTCTCCGCGAAGAGCTGAACAGCTCGTAAGTTGGTCTAGGTCGTATGCGATCTAGGTGAGAACTGGAGAAATCATATTTTAATTCTTTGCTCGACAACCTGCGGAGCTGCTTTATATCAGTGCAACTTTACTTTTCTTCACCAGTAAATACTAATGGTCGCAAAAAGGGATGGTTGAAAACTCAAATTCACTAGATTATTTTGTAGAAGTTGAATATTTTTGTTTCAGATGTCCTGCAGTCGGGTAAGAATTTTATTGTCATGAAATGATATAAACTGAAACTCAAAATACTAACCAGCTTTAAGATTACTTAGAGTGACTTTCAATGATTTTGTTACTTCAGTTTGCTTATATGTTACACTCTCGTTTCAAATCGGATCAACAGTAGTTCTGGTTTACTGTTTATTTGCATGCAAAATTATTGGTCAAAAAGAAACCATTAGACTGAAGCTAGATTCAAGGCAATACATGCTGTTTTGATGGGTGCAGAAGTTTTACTTTATCTACAAAAGTTTTATAAAAAAAATTGAAATGCGTTAACTAAATGCTTAATTTCACAATTCCAAATCTAAAATAAGGTTTATGGAATACTTTTTAGTTGCAAAGGAGCTTATATCATTGCAAGCTTTCTGTTTATACATGCGTCTGCCGATCAAACAAATTGATTAATTCGAAAACTGAAATTTCATTTAAATATGCGTGGCTTTTTTCGGGTCAAATATTCATCTTTTCAGGAAGTGCGGTCGTTTTCTTTTATGGAAATTTCGAAGTTTGCTCCTGAATAAATTTTTTTAAGTGGTAAGAAACGCTTTGAAAAACATTAAGTGTTCACTTTATTAAGCACTCAGTTTTTTGTGTTCCACGAATTCAGGTGTTGTTTTAGTTTAATTAGACCTTCGCTAAAAAATAATTTGTTGCACTTCGTTCATTAACATTTAAAAAAACTTATGGGAGAGCATATTTCGTGCTGTTCGTGAACAGCGAATTTTTTGAAATCTTTCAAATGAATATAAACTTGCAAATTGCCAAAAAGAAAAACAAGCGCACTTCCTGAAAAATTCCTGAGCTTCCTGATAAAGCCACATGTATTGATTGAAATGCATTTCTTGTTGGCATTTGCTGGAAAACGGCCCTAATGGACCACAAGGAAAAGCGTATTTTGTAGCTTTAAAATTGAATTGTAAGGTTACTTGTGGAATCGAAAAATAGTCATTGACCTTTTTTTTGGCAGTTTGAGTTAACTTTGTAAAGTGTGGCATTCTCAAATTGGGTTAGTTTTAATAAAACATTCTTGAAAGTTCTATAAATTTAGCATCAGTCACTTTTTGACTTGTTGAATTCATTGACGTTCAACTGTTCTTTGGTTGTCCAAAAATTATCAAACTTAATAAAATTCTGGAAATACAGGCAGCTCGTATATGATTAGGCTCATGATTAGCAAGCATTATCAAATCGCGAAATAGACTTTTTCCATGTAAACAACTTGTCTAACAGAATCAAATTATTTCCACAAATCTGTGCTTTCATCAACCCTAAGATATATTTTGAGCAAGTCTGCGTTGTAAATACTTGTTGTATTCGATTTTAATAAAATTTTAGTTGAAAATATACCAAATCCGATTTGGTATACGTTTTTTCTAGTTATTCGTCATAAATATTTCGGTTAATATGATATCGGCTAATAGGTCTTATATTGCGTTTAATGAGCAAAAAAGTTTTATTGTGTGTGTGTGGGGTGTGTGTGTCTGTGTGTGTGTGTGTGTGTGTGTGTGTGTATGTGTGTGAAAGGCGAGCTTGGAACTTTTTTGTTCAGTTTTTTTTGGCTCATCCTCGCTCAAGTCTAGTCGGCTTTGCTACCGTTTCATAAGTTTTGCTCCAATTCCAAATTAATATTCAGTTGGTTGACTTGGAACGTTTTTCTCAAAATCAACATTATTCAAGAAAATTCGAGACAAACATGAAACCTTCGCTAGATCTAGTTTTTCACACATCAAAAATCCGAATTGGCGGCTTCGTGCTATTTTCTGTCGGCTGTTTTGTCATGATATGTATGTCTTGTACCGCAAGTGGCGCGAAGCTCCGCTTTGCTTCTAGGTTTAATATAACCGTCAAAAGTAAAAAAAAAGAACGCTTTAGCGTGTATGAATATAAAAGATGCAGTGGATCAATTGAGCAATCCCCCCCCCCCATTCTCGCGTGGGGGGGAGATAGCTCAATAGGTACTTGAGACATGTTTATAACCACTTGAAAATAGATTGAATGACATGAAATCATAAAACATATTTTCCAACGACTGTGGAAAGCCACAATTTACAATATCAAAGCTCAAAAGTTTCATTCGGATTGAAAAAAGAATCAATAAAACAGCCATAAAAAGCGACTTTTTTTCCTTTCTTAACATGACAAAAAGTTTTTGCGAACAATATTAAGGTGCTGCGGAGAACCGTTTTTGCTATTCAGATACAACGCTAGAGCACCAACCCTGGTAAATCGCTTTCTTCGATGAGGCTATGGTCGCCTAAACAAAATTTTGCAAAAAAAAAAGTTTTTTTTTTCATAAATTTCGATTTTTTTTTCAAAATTTTTCTCGATACTCAAGTAAGATAACTTCAGTCGGTCAATTGATTGCGTGCTATAAACACATCATCCATCTACTTGCGTTTGCTGACGTCTTTTTGTAGAGTTTTTTTGTTTTTGCTGGGGGAGAGATAGCTCAATTGGTCATTACGGGTGGAGATTGCTCAATTGATCCGATGCAGTATATCTTTATTAGTGGGCATATGCTAACGTGTTGTAATATAAAAGACGCAGAAAAATGTAATTTCATTTTCAAGTGAGTATGACTTATACTCTGAGTAATGGATGTTGAATTGTTGTTTGTTTGTGCGTAGCTATGAGGGCTGGATGTTGGGAGGTCTGGTGCATGTGGACAGTGGGAAGAGTGCCCTGGTTAAGAGTGAACTGGCTCTGGGCTATGTCACCCCCAGTCTGAAATTGCTGGCTTCTCTCAAGGAGATGAGCGAATTCGGAGCATCCGTCTACAACAAGGTCAGCATCTCTTTATCTATTCCCCTTATGATACCTAGTGAAGACTAAGCACCCCCTATAAAGGACTATGCTTATTTGGAATTTCCCCCTTTTGCAATTCGGAGTAATTTTTCACAAGCAGAGATCCTAGGTCACCACATCACATGCTATGTGCTCACGTGCATTCATTTATATATTTTTCATTGTACCGACCGGTCAATAAGTGGAAAAAATATGGATTTTGTGGTTTTCCTGTTTTTAGTGCCGCCAACTAAGAGCCGTCTTCGGAGCGGATATAAGATTTTCTCGAGGGGGAATTGTTCGAAAAAGAGCCCTTAATCTATTATATATTTAAATGCAAGTTTCACTATCTCGCCATGTTTAAGCTTTTTCAACGTATTGTTTTTGCATGTTTAAGAAAAGAATTTTTCAGGTTTAAGCTATATCGTATATTGCAATTGTTAAGATTTTTTTCTTCGATTTTCCTGTTTGAAATCAGTGTTTACTTCACCAAGTTTGAAAGTAGCAACCGCATAATGAGATGTTGTCAGGGTTTCCCCGGATGTTGCGATTTCGGCCTCCATATATCAATAAGCAATTCTTTTAGGTTACGAGATACCGCAATTTTCGAGATTTTTCAAAAATTTCTAGAAAAATTTAATTTTCAAGTTTCTGAAAGTTTGAAATTCGCAACCCTATAGTTGGGGGATGTCAGGGTAGTCTCAGGGGTTGCGTAACTTGCCTCCAAATCTTCCTTCTCAAATCTTTGTAGTTTTCGAGATATGACGTGTTTTAGTGTTTTTTTTTCAATTTTTTTTTAGAAAACTTACATTTAATATCATTTAATATTAAGTTTGAATTTCCCAACCGTTTATTTTGGGGCTGTCATAGTACTCTCAAGGTCTCAGGTGTTGCCAATCTTGCCTCCAACTGTGACTGCTCAATTCTTTTCTAGTTTTACAGATTGACGTTTTTTGTTATTTTTTCAAAAAATTTTCAGAAAACTTAAATTTATTGTTTTTCTTCAAAATTTGAAGTTCTGAACTCCCTGTAGTTGGGGGCTGTCAGAGTGCTCTCAGGGATTGCGAGGGATCTTACCTCCAATTGTGGCTGCTCAAATCTTTTGGTTGTTTTCGAGATATGACGTTTTTTTCTGGTTTTTTCAAAAAAGTTTTTTTTTTTTTTTAGAAAATTTGAAATTCCCAACACTGTAGTTGGATACTGTTAGAGCTCTCTCAGGAGTTGCAAATCTTGCGTCCAAATGGGACTGCCCAATTAGTTTTAGATTCCGAGATGTGATGTTTTTTAATTTTTCAAAGATTTTAAAGTTTTTCAAAGAACTTAGATATAAAAAACTTGATGGTTTTTAAAAATTTGAATTGAAAAAACTTGAATAGAAGTTTTTTCAAAATATGAAATTACCAACCCTGTACTTCGGTGTTGTCAGAGTACACTCAAAGGATGCTGATTTTTTCCCCAGTATTTACGGTTTTCTATGAGTTGTTAAAATTTCGAAGCACCAGAGGTGCGTTACACGCTAGTTTTAATGTAACTATTTGAAAAACCAGCTTCATTGAGATGTGATTTTGTTGTAGGTGAACCCTACCACGGAGATTGGGGTGAGTCTAGGATGGACTGCGGGCACTACCTTCACTAAGTTCGGCCTGGCTGCCAAGCACAAGATAGACAAGACGAGTCACGTGAACGGAGCAGTGGACAACAGCAGCAACCTAAAACTCGCTTACACTAACGAAGTATCTCCTGGTTAGTACTTTTTTAAGTCATCATTACACTTATGAGATTTAGCGAGCGTACTGTTCTAGTACGAATCTTCTTTTTTTCTAACCTAACTTGCTAGTAAAAAAGTGTTCATTTGGTGGCACTTTTGCTATAATCACGATTTGTAGAATTGGAAATTTCATGGCATCTGTCCTCTGCTTTATTTGTGGCTTTTTTGTGATTGTTCAGCGTCCTTGGCTGAGCGGTTAGTCCGTGAGACTCAAAATCTCAGGCTCGAATTCAACTTGAAGTCGTTTTTTTAAAACTAATTTGAGGCTTATTTCCGTTTTTTCTTTTAATTCACTTTAGATTTGCTTTTTTTTCGAGTTCTCGCTAATGTTTGCGAAGCGAAGTATCGCCTCTGTGCCATGGGTAGAATCCCCCCTAATTCAAGATATGCCAGTTTTACCCTTGCGATAAGCAAGGGTATTGCAATCGGGTACTAGACTTTTTTCCCGTAAACAGCATTGTCCACAGGACTCATTGGGTTTTTTTTCGGTTGTTTGACCGCTTTTTGAAACTTTTCGACTTTTCTCAAAAACCACCCTCCCAAATCTGAGATTTTAGTTTCAATCGAAAGGACAAGTTGTGAGAAGCTCCGCTGTATAAGTGGTTTTGCCCAAATTTATAAACACAAAAAAAAATGACCCTCGGAAAAGTCGAATATTCCATTTTTATACTTTTTTTTGAAACTTCGCAACTTTGAAAACTACCCTCTTAAATCTGGTATTTTGGGTTCAACTAATAGAAAAAGTTGTAGGAAGCTCCCTTGCATAAGCGGTGACACCCAATTTTTTTTGCACAAAAAATTATTGCCCTCGGAAAAAACGAATTTTCGATTTTTTGACCTTTTTTTGAAAAGACTTTTCTCGAAAGCTACCCTCCCAAATCTGAGGCTTTGATGGGTAGGACAAGTGGTGAGATTTTCGACTGCATAAGCGGATGAGCCTAATTTTTTTTACACAAAAAATTATGATCCTCGGAAAAATCGAATTTTTGACTGGTTCTTGAAGCTTTTTACTTCTCTCGAAAACGACCCACACAAATCTAATGAGCAACGTTTTAAGCATCTTTTAATCTACTAAGATCTTGTAATCACTCCATTTTTTCATTTTTTTAAAAGAAAACTGAAGTAATTGATGAAATGCACGGATTTTGAAGTCATTATATTGGGATTTAATTTTTTTTTTCTATAGGTCAGTTTTTGAAATTAACCTTGTCCTTCCGCATCAATACAAAAATTACCAAACAGGTATTTTCAGCCTGAGCTAGCCTCTAATTTCTTTTTCTTTAAACTGACTGCTAATATGTCATAATTGTCTTGCGTCGCTTAGCAATTATGTAGACTCATAATTGGCGTGTGTAACTTAAGAAATTTTGTAGACTCAAAGTTTTACTCAGTTTTCCCAGTAGCGTTATCGGTCACATTTTGCTTATGTATGCGAAGTGCAACTTCGCCTCTGTGTTACGATTTCTTGCGTTCATTACTCTTTTCCAATCTACGATTGGCTATGTTTATGTTGGTTGTAATCTTGCCAACTTGAGTTGTTCAAACTTTATTTTTTGTTCTTTATTTTCGTTTTTTTTTTCTCGATTTAATAGGTTTCGGCATACTTACACTTGCGAAGCTAGTGTATTAGTACGGACGTTCTTTTTTCCAACCTAAGTAGCAAATATTGGTGCGGCACCCCAATAATGGTGGGGCACCACCATTACAGATTTTTGATATTATGTGTGTTGATAATCTAATAGTAATAAATTAACACAGATGATGCATTTTTAATTCATCAAATGAGCCGAAAAAAGCTATTTGTTTCAAACAACATCACGTTAATTAAAACTCGATTTCAGAAATTTTCTAACTCAATGTATCTCGCAATTTTTTGAAATGCATAATGAATCTTTATGCTTTGCGATTTGTTACATGCAAAGTTAGTGTCGATGCCTTCAGTTTGTTATATTCCAAAGTATCAATTGCAAAATTGAGTCTTTTTGTATTTGGTGCTGAGTCGCATTGGCAATTTGTTAGCATATGTAGCTGCTTTTTTCGTGACTAGTGATTGTCGGTTGTTGAGCTTGAGTGGCTGAGGGGATAGTGGGTGAGACTCAAAATCTCTTGATTGCAGTAAATCGCAAATTCGAATCCTACACTCAGCCGAGTTTTTGCAAATTCGAGGCTTATTTATACTTTTGTATTATTTAACTTGATAGAGCTGCTTTTGGCCGTGTTCTCGCAAGTGTTTGCGAAGCGCAGCTTCACTTCTCTGTTTATATCAGCTTAGTGGCACCATATTGCATCGTTTGATAAGCTAAAAATATCTTTTGTGTGCGTTTTGAGTTTTAAGGGTTACTATAACTGAAACTTCACAAATTTTGTAAATATACCATGTTTTTTTTTCGTTTTTTTATTATATTCAAACAGTTTCAGTTTATATTATATCGACTTAGTCATTTTTTATTTTGCGTAATTTTGACGGCAAAAAATATCCGTTCGGATTTATGTATTTCAGTTTGGATGGGTCGTAAAAACTTTAAATTTTTATGACAACAGTTTTGTTTTTGGCTCAACAGTTTTCGACCTTAAGTTTGTCTTCTTTGTTGCCGCTCGTTAAATGTTTTCCTTTTTTAGCATTGTTAGAATGCAATGAAACTTAACTGTGAACAGATTTATTCTTCATACTACACATCGTAACATCATGCATTGATTGAGCCATTAGAACAATTAAAACAACTATGACACAGAGGGCGAAGCTGAGAAAAGTAAGACACAGAGGCCCATGGGCTGTTAATGAACTCCATCCGATACAAATATTTACTTTTTTGTTGCGGTAGTTTTGCAGTTTTTGTTAAGTAAATTTTTCATGTAATTTTTCCAACTTAACTCAAACTTGACAAAAGGGCTGATGGGTGCCAATCTCATAATTAAGAGTAATGAACGTAGTGAATACTCATATATAGTTCTTGGTGATTTTTTCTTGATTTTTTTTGCAAGAAAAAGTCTTAACATTTGTTTACACTCAATTTTGATTTTTCGCGGTTGGACTTGTGATTTCTTTTTAAGTTCAGTGCAGTTCTATCGTTAAAATGGATTTCTAATTTCGAAAATGGAAGTTAAGTATCAGATTGCCCTGTGAAATAAAAGTTTTACCTATTGATTCAGTTTTGTCAAATTGGGTTAATTTTAGAAAAGTGTCCATCATAAATTGTTCTACAAATTCAAAAAGTTTTAAGGCCATTTTTCTTCGAAATTCTAAAGTTGAAGGTTTTTGGAAAAACAAGTCATTTTTTTCAGTTTCCTTGCGGCCATTACTCTTTTCCATCTGTCAGTTGGCTATGTTCGCAAAACTTCGATTATTTAGCGTCCTTTCAACAGCAAAATCTGATACGTTTTCACGCTAACTTTTTTCGAATATTGAATTTCGATTATATAAAATAAGTTTGGTGACGTGCGATTGATTCCCTGAGTATCATCAGATCATCCTGATCATTTGAGTTAATTCACACACTTTTTGTTTATTCAAATGTGCCTTCGTTTACTTAAATGTTCAATAGTCAGTCAAGCTTCTCAAATGTTCTTTGAAAACATAATTTTGCTACTTCCAGAAAGAAAAATTTGGAATTATAAGTAAGTTTTTGAGTATTGCTGCAGTAGCTGCAATTGGGTGGACGTTAAAAGACAGTAAGCCTGTCGAGTTGCCTTAAGAGCAGAGTCAAATTAGATGTCTCGTCATGATTTAAATCGCCTAATTTTGTATCTGAAACTGAAAGTAACAAGCAAAAAATAATAATGTTGAGTCGTCATATTAATTGATACAAGGTAGAGTTGCTGCTCTGTTGAAAGAGAATTGAGTTGTTTTTATAAAACTGGGCTTTAAACTGAAATAACCGTCAAATTAAACCTATTCCAATATTTACCAACAATAATTACTAGCATGCTGTAATTGAACTATTGGCTGTAAGCGAAGAAGAAAAAGTTTTCACGTTGATTGCTGTGTTTCAGGAGTGAAACTTACTTTCTCCGGAGTACTTGACACTAAAGCCATCAGTGGGGGAGACCACAAAATAGGGTTCGGAGTGGACATGGATTACTCTTAGAAGAGCAATGAAGACACCTGAGAATTGTACCAACTTTTGCTACCAGAGAAAATAAAACAGTTGTTGAGGAACTTCTCTTTAAAGTGCCACAAATTAGTTGCACTTAATCCTATGCAGAAGCATACTCCCTTAATGTCATGACATGAATTAACTAATACAATATTCAAGCGGATATATACACTTGCTATGAGAACAGATTTGAGCTGTGATGGATAGTTAAGTTGCTGACTTTTTGAAACAGTGGATTTTGTTTATAAAGATCTCTTGTCTGAAGGAATATAAATCTATTTGAACTTGCCTGGTTAACATTATTAATGACTGCAGCGAATTAATTAACTGATTATAAAGAGCCAAATTGGAGTTTTTGTAGCCTCATTTTTAAGTGTCAATGAATGTAGTGAAGACTCTCATATATGTCGCGACGATGTTCTCGTTGGTAAGAGAACACATAGGTCTTGTTGATTTTTTTGTTGTTGTTTTTTTTTTGCAGGAAAAAGTCTTAAAATTTGTTAACGCTTGCGATTTCTTTTAAAGTTCAGTGCATTTCTATAGTTAAAAGGGAGGCAAACTCCACAATCGAACAGCAAAAGTGTAAAAGTCACGAAAAATTTGACAGATTTCTAGTTTTGAAAATGGAATTGAATTATCAGATTACCTAGAGAAACATAATTTTAACCTATTGATCCAGTTTTCTCAAATTGTGTTAATTTTATGAAAAATTATCAATTAAAAGTTGTTCTAGAAATTCATAGAGTTTTAAGGGCATCTATTTTTTTCTTGGAAATTGGAAGGTTGTGTTTTTTTTTCTGTTTCTTTGCATTAATTTCTCTATTCCAACTGTCAGTTGGCTGTTTTCTGTATCAAGTTTAATTTTTCGCGTTGACTCGACTCTTTTTCAAGTTCAGTTCTTTTTCTTTGTTTAAAGGAAGTCAAACTGGACTATGTAACAGCAAAGGTATCAATTATCGAGAAAAAAAAATGAAAATATTTTTAAATGTTTAAAAACTTTTTTTTATTTTTTGCTTGAGCTTGCTCAGAGGAAAGTAAGTTACCAAGGTTTGCACCTAATCTCTTATCTAAATATGAAAAAAAAAATTGAAATAAGCATGCTAAATTTGCAAATATTTTGGTCATTTGCAACTAATCTCGTATCTAAATGTTAAAAAAATGAAACAAGCATGCTAAATATGCAAATAATTTGGCCATTTGCAACTAATTTTGTATCTAAATGTTAAAAAAATGAAACAAGCATGCTAAATATGCAAATAATTTGGCCAAATTTTTTTTTATTTTTTCGAGGCTTGTTTCTATGTTTTCTTATTTTTATTTCAGTTTATAGCTGCTTTTTATTCGTGTTTTTGCTAGTGTTTGCGAAGCGCGTGAATTTTGCTGTTCCATACTCGTTGCGGAATCTGGTGCATAATCTGGTACACAAACTCTTCAACAAATGCTAAATAATTCACTTCAGTTTCTAGTTTTTCACACTGGAGCCGAGCTCTACGTTACGAGGCCATTAGTTGAGATCAAAACATCCTTTATTTTTTACCATATTTCCAACTATCGAAGTGTTTTCCTTGAGTGTATTCAGTGGCGGATTTAAGGTGGGGGGGGGGGGGGACGCCCCCTTCAGGCATTCGACCCAAAGGGTCCCCCCTTTGTACTATTTTGAGATATCCATATTTGGTGACGGACCCTAAAAATTTTTCAAAGGCGCATTTGGAGCCAATATATACTAATTTTCAGGTGTGAGAACGCGCCAAAAAACGCATTTTTTTTTGAGAATTTCCAAAAAGTGCCTAAAAACGCCTTTTTTGGCCTATTTTTCAAAATTTTGACTGCGGCGCAGAAAATTTGACCGAAGCATGGGTCTTTTTAGTGATTGGGGAGAGCTCGGAAACTCAATTTGGTCGACCTAAAAAAAGGTTGACAGTTTTCGAAAATTTTTTGAAAATCCGTCCCCCCATCAAGAAAATCCTAGATCCGCCCCTGAGTGTATTATGGTTTTTTTGAGCAGGACTTTTTGATCCGTCCATCGGGGCTGTCAGTCCATCGGGGCTGTCAGTCCGTCGGGGCTGACAGAGTCAGGCTGTCAGATTCACTTAATTTTTGTTCAGCTTTTGTCTCTGATGCTAGCGCTTGCCTTTCGAAATTTTGCTTTCTTATTAAGTGTCAATGATGAACTACGCGAAGACCTTAATTTCAGTTGTTGTTTTTTTAAGGAAAATGTCTAATGTCCTTAATTGATTTGTTTTTGAATATTTTTTTGATTTTCGAAGAAAGAAATACATCAAGTTAAATCTTTTTAGATAGTGAGACCCTCAAGATGTGGAACATTCAAAACCGTGAGCATAACTCCGAAGAGCAACAGCGCTGATTTCAATTATCCGGGCAAAAAGAATAACACTTAATATTAAAACGTTTTTTTTTTTCAAATTGGTTGACTGACCAAAATTGTGAACCTTCTCAAGTGTCGGATTACATAATACGGAAACTTTGAAATAGTTTTGTTAGAAATTGAACTATTAAATTTTGGCAGACCAAAAAGAGACAAAATAATTTGCTTTTTGGGTTAAATGTTGGCCTTGATAATTGCCAAGTTGCAAATTATTAATTCAGCAAAAATTTTAAGCAAGTTTTGTCTTTGTAAATTTTTCTCTTAAATTTAAGCAAGTTTTGTCTTTGTAATTTTTTCTTTTAAGTCAACTTAGTTTCAGAGAAACGCGTTTTATTGTTAAAACTTTATTCGGTTTGGCTGGATGAGTTAAATAAGCCTTGTATTGTTTTGTTGTGAAGAATGGAGCAGCTATTTCCTGCCGCAATTTCTAAGTTCCCCGAAACAATTGTAAGAAGTGCCCCGAAACAATGGTAAGCGGTCACTGTTTGATAAACTACTTGGAACTCTCAAATTCCCTAAACTGATACTAGCGCCGCTTACTTAACTAGTGGTACTAAAAAAGCTACCCTCTGTTTAGTCTTTAAAAAAGTTAGAACGAAAATACATTAATAAATCACCTTATTTTCGTTACAAATTTTTAAGTTAGCTGTGGGGTTTTGCGTGCTCTGACCAGTTTTGAAAATGCGTGATAGAACTTAGCGTAGGCTCGTTTTTTTGACGTTTCTGTTATTTTATCGGGAAAGCTTGTAGGTTGTCTTTCATAATTATTTGCCCGGAGGGCTGACTAATCACCAACGGAAAAAATTCAGTCCAACTTTTTAGTAGTTCTTAGCTGATAAACTAATGCAGTCCCCTTTCACTTCCAGAAACAGAAATTGAGCTTTTTCCTTAATTTTGATTTTTCATTACAAAGATAAGCGTGAGTAGCCTTGGAAATTGCATAGCATCTGTTCTCTGCTTTATTTGTGGCTAGTGTTTGGTGCCGATTAAGCGTCCGTGGCCAAGTGGTTAGTGTGTGAGTCTGTTAATCTCTTGGTTGCAGTTTCGAATCTTAGACAATTCGGCTGTCTAATTTTTTTGTTGAGCTGCTTTTTGTCAAGTTCTGGCAAGTGCTTGCGCAGCAAAGCTTCGCCTCTGTATTGAAAGTTAAGTGCATTTTCCGAGGTAATAAACTTTTCTGCTGATTTTTTTACTCTGATGCAAAAGCTTGCTCGCCGAAAAATAGTCTTTTTTATAGTCGTTGCTCAGTCATTGAGCAACGCGAAGATGCTAATTTTGAGTGTTTTTGAACATTTTTTGAATATCGAAGAAAAATATGTAACGTTAATTGTTTTTGAAATTTAAGCTGGCCATCTTTGAAATTTAAGCGGGTCTTTTTTTTGCTGGCCATCTTTTCGCTTCCAACTTGTACATTGACAACCCCACAATATAGAACTTTCAAAGTCAAGAGATACTTTCCGAACAACTGCAGAGCTGATTTAAAATATCCTAACCAATCAAATAAAATTTTGAAAGTTGATCTCAAATTGGGTTGACTTCGTACAAAATTTTACACCGCCGTAAAACTTACTTCGTTGGGCTATATATGACGCACTCGTTGATATAATTTTGCCAGGCAACGAGCCAGTTACTTCTGATTGATAAAGATAATCCATAGATAATCTGTTTTGGGGTTAGGTTTTGAATTTCACCATAATGATTCTGCCAAAAATTTAGGCATTCATTGTCTTAAGTCAACACAATTCGAGGAAAACGTATTTTGAAGTTTTAATTGTTTTGGCCGCCGCATATTATTCATGTTGAGGATATAACAATTTTTGATGGAACATCCAAAGATGTTAACCAGTTTTCAGGATTTTAATCAGATTTCTTGTGCAACAAAACACTGTCGACAACCAGCTCAAGTTAATTGAGCAAAGAAAGTGCCCCAAAACATAAAGAAAAAAATCTCTTATGAAACAATGAACTCACAAACGTCTAAAATTTATACAAGCGCGATATATTTAACTAGCTGCAATAGTATAACCGCGCTCTGTTTGAGATTCGATGAACGTACTTCAGACTCCTATATAGGTGCTGATGTTTTTTAAGGAAAAATTTCAAAGTTGTTCAGATAAAATTTACATTTTTAAAATTTGCTAAAAACGTGATCGATTTATTGTTTCGAAAGAGGAATTTAATTTCCAGATTTCAACCATAAAAAGTGTCGACCGTAAATTGTTCTAGAAATTCAAAGTGTTTTAAGGGCATTTATTTTTTCTCTAAATTTCGAAAGTTAATATTTCTCTTTAAAACTCGTTTTTTTTCCAAAAAAATAAAGTCTTATTTTTTCTGTTTACTTGCGTTCATTGACTCTTTTGAGACTTTAATAAATCATTTTATTTTCGTTGTGGTTTTTGAATAATGTTTGTTAGCTAAGGAATCTTTGTTTGCTCCGATTATTCTCGAAAGAGTGGTATGGAACTTGGCGTGATTTAAAATTTAAAAATAAATGTTCAAAGTTTATTGAAAATGGTTTGGGTTCTCCGATGTTCTTCATAAAATTTTGTCTGGAGGGCTGGCCAATGACCAACCGATAAATTTCAGCCCAAATTTTTTGTAGTTCATACTTTGTTCGCCCAATATTAAATTTTCACTACTTAAACAAATTTCCTTAATTGCGAACACCCCTATTGAGAATTGATCAAAAAGATAAACCTATTTGCTTACGTTTCATCGTTTCATGGTCCTTGCGGTTTTCTTTTCAAAACCATGTTGATCTTCAAAACCTGAAATTAAATCGTTGAGTTTATTTCAGGTGTAATAAGTTAATTGTGTAATAAGTTAAGGGCGAAACGTGCGAGGACGAAATAAGTGAAATTATTAGGTGCGAAATGTGCCATTAGATTTAAGAGGGGAGAAAAGTGTAAAGTGTGTGGGCGAGACATAGGACTTTCCATATTATATTGTGCCTTCCAAATTTCGGAAAAATATGACTGCTATAGATTGATTTCGCCACATGATTATACTTTCAAAATATTTAAGTGTTACATAACAGGTTTTTGTTTTTCCGTCCGGTTATATTTTTTTGTATATGCAGAATACGTTGAGAAATTACCTCGTTTGCTAATATGTCGAACTTTTTTTTGCTTGCAATTGTTTGCTTCTGTGTTTAAAACTGGAGTACCTCGTTCTTTATCTGTAACTTTTTTGTCAAGAACAGCCGAACAGGTACGATTCAAAATTCTCTATAGGTTTGCTTATACACAATACAATACTAAGCGGATAAACTAACAAAATTTTTTCAAATCACAATTTGATTAAACACTAAAATGAATCAATACATATAATATCAGAATAAACAGCAAAAAAATAGATTTTTGACAACAGTCGTAATTTATTTTTTCCTATCATATAATTAAAACCCCGACACTTTTACTAACAAACCTTTCTGATTACTCAAGTCCTAAAGTAAGTGTTTAAAGCGAACCTTGCGAGTAATTCAGATAGCTCGCTATTATGTTTTAAGCAACTGTTTTTATTGGGTAAGTTTTTCACTGTTAAAGGTGTTCATAAAAAAGGCCAGAATTTAAAATATTGTTGCGAACCAAGTAGTTATCTGTGAAACAAAGAATTTTTTTAAGTTAAACAAAAAATTTTGAGGAGTAATCTCAAGTTATATAAGTAACTTTATGAGATAAAAGCAATTCGAAACGCCTTAAATTTATTTAAGATTTTTCATTATTTTTTGTTGGATTTTTAAATTATGAGGAAATCTTGTAATAGTTTTGATCTGTTAAACAGGGTTTTACTTTGTTAAAGTAAACCCAGCTAGAGAAAACTGGATCAAAATAAATTTTTTAATCCGCTGGAAATTCTGGAAAATTAGTCTTTTTTAAAGTAAACGTTATTCACGGTTTTGCACCTGTGTTATTTGAGAACATAGTATGCCTTCCACTTAGCAAATAATTTGAATTGAAATTAAAGCTAAATAAATTTTAAACCGCAAAAAGACATTTTAACCGTGAACAACTGTAAGGTTTTTTCCCAAAAAACGCCAAGATCTAGAAAAGTGATAAATCACTCCGTCCATTTACACCTAATCTCAAAACTCAAAAATCTTCTATTTTGTTGCAGCAAAGCACAAACCTAGTTCGATTCAAATGGCAATATATACTGCTAGGTTTTTGTGAGTCACAAGTATTGTTTCGATTTTTTAAGAAAAATAAGACTACTCGTATCAGGGCTAAGCCCTGAATCTTCTGACTGTCTTTTAAGGTCTATAAAGCAGTATTCGCTTTTAAAAAAATATGAATTTTTCAATAAAAAATAGAAAAATATTTACAAAATAATTAGAAGTTTTTTTAAATCCCCCACACGCCATATAAAGTACAAAGTGATAGATTTCGCTCCTAGTAACGTAGAAAGTATGGCAAGCAGCCTGTTTCAATCAATTTGGAATGGTTTCTATGAGGGATTACATCTCCGCTGACGCGTTAATGGCGCGAAATATATCGCGCGTTAATTGTCCCAAGTTGGCCATATTGGCAATATTTAAATCCTCATAGCTTTATGAAAAATGAACACAGGTGAAATATCTTTTTAAATTTGAGCCCAGTTGAACAATACCTTTCGGCTGATATAAACTTTTCGGCTGATGTAATATAGTAAAAGGTTGAATTTCTCTGAAGAAAAAACCAACCCGAGCACAAGTGTTCCGGTACTTTCGTTACAAAAGTCAGAACAATAAAATTTGAAAATAGGTCATGCAAAAACGTCAACTAAAAGAATATTTCAAACCTGTATTTTTGAATTGAGTGATTTTGCCAGTGTTTGTTAATTAAGTAAAAAAAAATTGCTGTTATAAATTGAATTGATTTCCTTATGAGCATTTATTTTCTCTTGGTTTCATTTTAATCTATTTTTCATAATCTATTTAGAAAAAAAATTTGCAAATAACTAGGCACAGGCAAACAACTTTTCAAAACTCAGAAATATTATCATTTTTTGGACTTTTTACTAGAGGCTGATGACATGCCTTCGGGAGCCAAGGTGAGTTCGCTTGCACTTGCGGTCAAACTTGACAGATCATCAGAAGCTGCTGAGCTCTTCGTAGAACCGTCGAAACCAGACGCTTTCTTTGATCCAGTCAGAGATCCCGAACTTGATGGAACGCCAGTCACTTTTCTCTCCCCTGCCGAACTTGTTAGCCCCTCTGAAGTACTAGTGCTGGTGGTCGTCGATGAGCCTTGACCTCCGGTTCCAAGAGTTTGGCTTCCAGATTTAGAAGCACCAAGACTAGCGCTGGACTTTGTTATCGAACCAGCGCCACTTTTTGAACTCTTAGATCCAGTTAAACTGCCGCCACCACTAGGTGCAAGACTATCGCTCTTAGGATCATTTGATTCGAGGCCAGATACAAGACCTCCACCGGTGATTCCATCATCCGCGCCATCTGTTGTGGCGCCTGGCTTTTTGGATCTAGATAACCCGCCAATTGATCCTTTTGACTTGGATAATCCAGATATTGATCCCTTGGATCCACCTTTTGACGGTGACGATAAGTTTCCTCCAGCACTCTTAGATGGTGATAAAGATCCGGACTTCTTCGATGCTGATTTCGAACCAGACTTTTTTGATGCAGACATGCTACCAGTAGAAGTTTTTGACCCAGAAAATCCAGTTGTTGACGCGGAACCCTTTTTGGTTGCACTGGCCGAAAGTCCACTATCCAGATCATCCAACCCGCCCGCTGATGTTTTCGATGGCGACAATCCGCCAGATGAACCTTTTTTAGCAGCTGAAAGACTTCCAGACTTTTTGGATGCAGATATCGATCCACTTTTAGATGGAGAGAGTTTTGACCCCGACTTTTTAGAACCCGAAAGTGCGAGGCTACCTCCTTTGGAAAGTGATCCGGCTCTTGAGCCTGAAGTTTTACTTGGGCTTCCACCTTTGGATGCTGATATTGATCCGGCCGAGCTTCTGGAACCTTTAGAGCCTGATCTCCTGCTTCCTTCTTCAGATGGTTTCAAAAGTGCGCCTCCAGTCTTAGATCCCGAGGCTCTTTTTGAGCCACTTGCCTTAGACCCTGATGCCCGCAATGAACCTCCTCCTTTGGAGCCGGAGGCTCGCAAAGAACCTTCTGCTTTGGATCCGGAAGCTCGTAAGGATTCGCCTGCTTTGGACCCTGACGCTCTCAGTGAACCCGACTGTTTTGAACCAGATTTCTTAGCTGAACCTGATTGTTTCGACTCACCAGAGACACCTAAGGATTCTTCGGCTTTTGATCCGGATTTCCCTCGAGAACCGCGTTCTGCTTTTGATCCAGAGACTCGCTGTGAGCCTTCCATTGCTGAGCCTGAAGCCTTGGCTTCACTGGTCCCTTGGCCCTCTTCTTTGGAACCGGAAGCCTTTGCAGCGCTACTTCCTTTTTTCTCTGCTGACATGGCAGATAGGCCTCTTGGAGCACCAGAACCTCCCCGTGACATCTGAGACGAGCCTTTTGCAGCTGAACCATCTTGTGAACGGGATCCGTCTCTCTTAAACGCATAATGTAAATATAGTGAACTTTTACATCAAACTTAGTGTAAGTATTAAACTTTTAGACGTTTTACTATAAAATCAATATACATATGAAAAGTTAAATATATTCTTCGCGGTTTTTATAAATATCAGTGGTGTTTATAGTTTAGCGGCGTGCGTATGAACTGTTTCTTAGTGCATATTGACGCCAAAGACACCTTTAATGGTCATATAAAATAATAATAAAGGGGGGGGGGGGCTTTGAAAAAATGTGGCCGCAAGAATTGAAATGGGAGGGTCGGGCGATGTTGCACCGCTCAGCGCGCTTCTATTAAACTTACTGATTTGCGACCATCTTCCATTTCCGAGCCACCTTCCTCAGAAAAGCGAGAAGTCTCCTCCCCCTCTGCGCCCTCGTAGTACTCAGATCCCGACATCGAACTCCCCCTCGAACTCCTGCTGCCCCCCTCACTCTTACTCCCCCCATCATCTACTGTCAGTCGACTCTCCTTAGCCTGACTTCCTTTCTTACCTTCCTTCTCTTCCTCTTTTTTCTTTTCTTTTTCCAACTTGTCAATCGACTTTTTCCAGTCTGGTTCCAGTTTTCCATCTTTCCTTAAGTACTGCGTCTCAGACTCACCAAGTTCCGGTTTCTTGATGATGTCACACTGCTTCATCCGTATGTCAGTGTACCCCCTTTTCTTGGGCTTACTGGGTTTTTTAATTTCTCCCTGTGGGAACGGGTGGGGAACTGGTGCCAGTCGGCGGCCACGTGACCTCGACCGGCTTCTACTTCTATCACCTTGGTAATTCCATGGTAGCAACGGGTGCGTTATGACTCGAGACGCTGTATTTTCGTAAGGTTTCGTAGGACCTGGACAGTTTTTGGGGTCAACCTTTTTTCTTATGCCTCCGGTTCGTCCCCCGTCCAAACTTCGCGAGGCCATATGTTGTTGGTCAACTAAAGGAGCACCTCGCCGACGATGCTCATAGCCGAAACTTCCATCTGACCAATACATTGCGCCTTGATTTCTTAACTGGTCGTTGTTGTAATTTTCGCTAAGTAGATCTGCGGGTGGTACATGATTTTTAGCGTATGTTTGCTGACGAGTGTTTAGGTTTTGTGTCGATCCAATAACTGACCTTGAGCCACGCTCTTTTGGAACCTTGTGGTATTTTCGGTGGATTCTCGGAGTACAAGGGTGCGCTTCGCAGGGAATGAATTTGGCGTTATCCGATTTGGCCAGAAATGATCTTGTCGATGCTGTCACGTTAGCCGAGAACTCAGCCGAGCCATCCGAACTCACAGACCTTGTGTCGTCCTGCCCGTAGAAAAGCGGCTGGGTCAAACTTAACGAGTCGAAGTCGTCGTAGTGGGGTTTTATGGGGTAGGTTTGACCCTCGTCGTAAGATTGCATCAATGATTGCGAAGGGGGCGGGGCGGTTGGAGGGATTTTTCTAGCTCCAGCAACCATTCCGCCAGGCGCCAGCGAAGCGAGAGGAGGTCCCTGTGCTTTCCCGTCCTGAGCTGAAACTGGCTTGGGGGCAATTTTGTTCTTTTCGATGTCAGGCATGTCCGGCAGTGATCTTGATCGTTTCATGTCTGGGAGCCATCTCGTACGGAATTTCCTCTGAAAATAAACAAAAAAAGCGTATTTGTAGTTTAGTCAGTTTTTGTGTGTGAATTTCAAAGACGTCAAAAATTTTTGGGCTCGATATGTTGCGACTTAAACTTGAACAAATTGATGACGTGAGAAAACATGTAAATATATTTTTTTTAATTTTGTTTACTTGTTAAACAAAATGATTCTATGTAGTTGTTTTAAATGAAATTTTAAAAAGAACAAATATTTGTAAATATTCGCAGAAGTTTACAATATTCAACCTACCGCGTGCTCTTTTCCGATTTGAACTGCTCGTCTATAGTGCTTCAGGTCTACTACTTTTACATATGGACTGACATAGGGCTCATTCTCATTGTTATTACAGTAACACTTGGTTGGTTTGTCTTCTATTACATAAGGAAACTCCTCTTCTTCCCTGGCTGTGAGTCCTTCCAGTAACGGAACTCCAGTCTCCGGATCAAACTCGACATCAGTCACTGCCAGAAGAATGTCAAACCGATCGACGTCCTGGTCCACTTGGATTCCCCTGTCTATCATTACAGGAGGCGGATGCTCTATGGAGTAAACAGGAACCTTTTTAGTATACGGAGGGTGGGCCTCGTAGACACTCTTCTTAACCCGACCACTCTTGCCGACTCCTCCCGGGCTCCAGCTTGCCGACCTTTTGACAGCCGAACCTTTGCTTTTTCTCGGAGAAGCCGAGCTCTTTTTGGCACCCGAGCTCTTTTTACCGCCTTTCTCATCATTTTCATTCTCCTCTTCTTCGTCATCGTCATTTTCTTTATCCTCGGATCCTTTTTTGGTGTCCCCGTTTCCGAGACTAAGCGACACTTTTTTCTTTCTGAGTGGAGGTGGATCGCCAAACAAGCTGTGGGCTCTACTGAAACGCATACTGCGTCTGGGCAGCGGGGCTGGCTTCTGTTTCATGAGCAACTCGGCAGCATCGAGTCGCTTGCCTAATGCAGATTATGGTAGGGTTTCGGTCTAACGTTTGTTTAAATAGAATTGATTTTTATCAAGATTATTATTTAGATAAGCGAACTTTTTCTTTGTTAAAGGTTTCTGTGCTTTACCAACATATCCTGATGCATACTTACTTCCCAATTGTTGACCATGACAGTGACCTTGAGCGCCCTAATTGGTCACTAAACTGCGTTTTAGGTTCATTGAATTTATACAAGCTTTTTAAAGTTGAAATGCGTAAAAATATGGTTTTCGACAACAAATTATGAACAGTTTTAGGTAATTAACCTCAGATTCGTTAGGAAAAAAAGAACGTTGAGACTAATTTGATATTAAATGGGTTTTAAATGCTCTACCTGATAAGTTAGTGTAATCCAGGATGTCAGGCAGGAGTCCCAGACATACATGGATGCCAACATCCCTGAACTTCACATCCTTCATCTCTTGTTCTGGTTTGTCATCATCATCCGCGCTACTCTTCTTCTTCTTGGAACTCCTGCTGCCACCCTTAGTTGACCTCTTCTGACCCCCCTCACCGTCCTCTCCACTCCCCTCCGAGTCAAACTCCCCCTCATCCTCCTCCTCGTCTCCTTCAAAGCTGACATCACGCGACCTTTTGCCGCCCGATGACTTCTTTTTGGAGTCTTTCTTGGAGGATTCTTTCTTTGAGTCGCCTGGCTTAGATGCCGATATCTTCGGAGCATCTTTCTTGTCGTCAACTTTAAACGATTATATGGCAAATTTGATAACATTTTTATTACTATGAACCTCAACTCGACATAATTTGTGATGTTAATCTCTAGAAAATGGTGGTAAAATCAAATCGTTGGATGTCAACTATCAAATTTTTTTCATCCTTTTTTTCAAAATACATAAAAAAGTAAGTTCAAAAAGTTTAATTGAAAGAAAAATCCAATTCAAGACCGGTATAGAACCAACTATATTTTAGATCACATATAGGTACTGCCTCTCAGAACCAACTATCTGCTGTCATATGATTTTACCGCTCGGCCAAAATTGGGTATCGGAAAATAAAACAAAAAGAAGTGCTATTAAGGTTCTGAGGGAGTCGATTTATTAAAATTACAAGCTCACCCCCCCCCCCCCCTCTAAACCCTCCCCTGACTGTACCTAATTTCTTCTCCATTTCCTTCTCGTGTTTTTCCCACAGCTTCTTGAATATCTTGTTCAGTCCTTTCGGCTGCTTCACTTTCTTCTCCGACATCACACTCCCCCCATGCTCCACGTGACCACCATCCGAGCCCCCCTTCTGGTCCCCAGCCCCAGCCCCTCCCCCGTCGTCATCCGAACAACTCATTTCGAGGCAGTCACTCTCGCCTGTGGAGAAAATTAAGCCCACGTTATTCAGTCTACTTTACATTCTGTCATATGAAGGCTAAAAACCGACAATTTTCTTTGTAGAAATCATAGCTAAGGAAAAAATTTTATCTTCAGTATATGAAACTTGCAATGAACGAATATACAGAAACTGATGAAAAAAGTCCATTTGAATCCTGCAATAAAAACTGCGATGGTAGTTAAATTATGTTATTAATAAAATTAACCATAGTTTTTGAAAATATTATTTCGAGCTCAGATTTTGGATTATTTTCATCCCATATTTTCGAGTAGTACTAAAATGTCAGATGAAATAGGCCCTGTTATGTTTCTATGCATACCTGTGGTCATAGATAATTGTTATTGTCATGGTAAGCGTAAGAAATCAGAGAACTATATTACGCGTAAAAAGATCTTTAAATGAAACAAGGATAGCCCGTTACTGTGCAAGTAGCACAGAATGTTCCGACCATAATCTTAAAAAAAATTTTTTTTTCAAATTAGTTTCGTTTTTTTTCTGCGTGGTGTGATAAAAAGATCTGAACAAAAAATAGAACTTAAGCATATTGGACAGTCATAGTAAAATAGGCCAATTAAAAAACAGTTTTTGCAGAAAAGTGAAAAAACATCGTTAAAAACTTTCAAAAAATTTTACAAATTCTGATGCAGAATTTTTTTAAGAATTTTGAAATCTTTGTTTCCCAATTCGGCGCTAAAAAATCCAAAAATTAAATTTACTCAAGCAAAACTAAGTTTGCACGGCCTAAATTGAACATAAGCTATTGTAAACCTGTACGATCACCTTATTAGCGTGAATTTAAGCCAAAAATATCACGACTCATTCCGATGATTATTTGTGGTATCTGATTTTGCGTGGGAAACAAAAAAAACGAAAAACTAAA